GTCTTCTTCCCCTTGAACGGGCTCCCAGCTTCTGCTGCGCTTGCATCACCGTGTCCTCGGCCCACTGAGGCTCTCCCGATAGACCGAAATAACCCGGTGATGTCAGACTCTGTCTGGTTGCCACCAAGGAGAGGTGGCTGGGCCTGGGGGAGGTTTTTCTCCCACGGGGTAACTGGATATTAACGGCAGGCTGCCCGGCCAGGGAGAAAGGGATGGGCGAGCAGGATTCTTGTTTCTCCCGTGAACACCCCGCAAGCAGGGGCAGATTAACCCTTAAGCAGACGAAGCACGTGCTTAGGGCACCAGGGCCCAAGGGGACACCACAAAGTTGGGGAAAGGGCGAAAAGCTTCGTTTGTACACAGTATTGTTGAGTTATCCGATGAATACATTTTTGTATTGCCGCAACCTGCATTGTACACCTGGTCAGACAGGTCAACGACTAAAATGGACTGGGTCAGTGTGGAAAGGAGGGGGGCACCAAGATGGGTCAGTGCTGAGGGCACCCGTGAGCCTTCATCCGCCCCTGCCCGCAAGACACAACAGCCAGGGTGTGCGGCCTCCGAGCCGGGAAGTCGCGCAGCTGCCCTGTCAGCTCAGTCTCCTCTGCTGACAGGCCTTTCACAGGAGAAACCACTTCGCGGCTCATGTTAGCTGACAGGTCTGTTTACACTTGGCCTCGTTCCCAGTCAGCGGTTATGCTGGCCGCCACGTGCGGGTGGTGGAGTGCTGTGCTAGCGGCTGGTTAACTGGGGCCAGGAAGCCCGTCCAGAAGAGACCTTGTTGACCCAGTTGGTTGTCCTGGCAAATGGCGGGGAGGAGAGGCACAGCAGAGCCAGTGAACCCGTGGCTTAGAGTTGCTGCCCCGGTTTTCTTCTTTCCCACGTGGCCAGCCGCTCTCGTCCTGCCGGGTGAATCCTCCGGAGGAGACACAGATGCCTGCACCCTCTTGGCAGGAGCAGCCTCATCGACTTGCATTAATCAACGAGAGCTGCTCTTGGCAAACGCAGGATCCCCAGTGCCAAGCTTGTCGAGAAGAGACAATGGAAGCGTGGACTGCTAGCCAGATACTGGTAATCTAAACCAAAAGAGTTAGAATATCAGGGACATAGACGTGAGGTTCCCAGTCCTGTGTTTTCCTCATAACGATAACGCAAGGCAGAGGGGAGGTTGCTTGCAGAGAAGGATCGGGAGGCGGGAGGGGGGTGTAAGCCATTGGACTGCTAATTCTCGCTGGGAGATCCCCCTTCTGAGGCTGTTTCTCCACCGCCAGGTTGGCCGCACCTCTGGTTTCAGAGCCTAGTTGGGGGGACGACGGGGATATTCAGGTTGGAGAATCTCACCCATCACTCCCCCCCCCGCAAGTGTCCCCAGTTCCCTGTGTTTGCATTAGGAGGGGAAATGGGTCTGGGATAGGGTTGCCAGCAGCCCGGTAGCTAGGGAATTCTTTGGGAGGGGGCCTTGGGGGGCCCACCAGCTAATTAAATGGAAGTACAGTGCAGGTGGTAAGTTGGAGCACTTTGGGGGCAACCCGGGAGCAATGTTCCCTCTAAGCCATGGAGCCTTGTGAGCAAAACTTCTACTCTGTGAGCTACTGGCATTAAAGTTGTGAGCGAGCAATTTGGCTACTGCATAAATTAGTTTGCTCTGGAGCCCTCCTTCCTGAGCTTAGACAAAGATCTGTGAGTCCGAGACTAAAAAACTGTGATCTAGCTCACACTAACTCAGCTTAGAGGGAACACTGCCCGGGAGGGAGGGGGCCCAGAAGAAACACTAGGGGGCCAGGCCCCGTGGGCCCCATGTTAGGTACGGGCCAGGTTGCCAGTAGGGCTGCCAGGTCCCCCGTGGGGGTGGGGGTTTGCCCGCTCAAAGGGCCCCCAACCCGCTGGCCCAGATCCGACTGGCGGGGGGAGCCCCGCCCCGAAAGTGCCCAAATCCGGCCAACATACCTGGTGCAATGACATCACCTGGAGGTGGTGTCATCGTGCTGGGCACATCGCCAGGGGGACACTCTAGCATTCAGCCTGAAAACTCTATAGTATCACGTCCCGGACCGGGACCACCACCACCCCCCGCCAGAAAAGGCAAGGGACCTGGCAACCCTAGTTTCCAGTCTCCAGGTGGTGCCTGGAGACCTGCTATTACAACTCATCCCCAGGTGACAGAGATCAGTTCACCTGGAGAAAACGGCCACTTTGCAAGTCGGACTCTAAGGCGTTATGCCCCAAGCCCCGCCCTCATTAGGCCCCGCCCCCAAAATCTCCAGGTGTTTCCTAGCCCGGAGCTGGCAACCCTAGTCTGGGAACGCCTTGCTTCTCTTGCAAGGTCTAGTTTTGCCGTAAGTCTTCTGTTTTAACAGTTAGATCTATGAGTGCAGTCGCGCCTTAGAGACCAACAAGAGTTTCAGGGCATAAACGTTTGAGAGCTGGAGCCCTGACTCTTGAAGGCTTATTCCCTGAATCTCTCGAAGGGGCTCCTGGACTCAAATTTAACTGTTCTACTGCAGACCAAAAGGGCTGCCCTCTGAAACGATCTTCCGCTTGAGATGACCGATAGGTAGCTACTGCTCCCTTCCATCTGTGTCGTGTAATCTGAAAACCCTGCATAGCGCCCACAGCGGCTGGTTCACAGAACACATCACCTTTTCTGTTTTGTAGTTCAGATTCCACATGACGTAGGGCCGGATCCCACCCTTATCCAGCCATTCCCCTGAGCAAAGGTGATCTATTTAAAGATCTACACCCTACCGTTCCTTCCTTGAAGCCTTCACCCAATCGAAGGAGGCTTCCTCCAAATCAAGCGTCTCTTCTATTGGAGGCCGAGCCACTTAAGTTGGAGGGAGGGACACTTAGGCTGGGGGGGAGGCTCCCAGAAGGACGGTCTGACCCACCGTGTTGCTCTGCGTGGGGTGGAAGAGGTCTTCCTAGTCCACGTATGGTTTGAAGACCAGTTGTAATATTTCTTCGAGGAGCAGGGACGGGTTACATAGGATGATAAGGCAAGATTGTACCCCCTTATGGCTGAGCTGTTGGTGGCACCATGCGTCTAGTGTTTTTAGGATACTCGGGCTGATGTCGAAGCTTCCTGGGAACACAGCTCCCCTCTCCTGGGCTGAGTCCTGAAAGCCAAACAACCACCAACTTGTTTCTACAAGTTTAATGCTGGCTGGGCACCATGCTGATTGGCCGGCTGCCCCATGATGTCTATCGACGGCCACTAGCCTCCATATTCAGAGGCACTAAGCCTCTGAATCCCATATTCATATGGGGAACCTCCATATTCAGAGGCACTAAGCCTCTGAATCCCAGAGCCAGGAGGCAACATCAGGGGAAGGCCCTGTTGCTGGCCATCCAGGGGACCTGGTTGGCCACTGTGTGAGACAGGAGGCTGGACTAGATGGACCCCTGGTCTGATCCAGCAGGGCTCTTCTTACGTTCTTATGATGTCACCATGAAATTCCCTCCCCCCAAAGCCTGGAGCAGTTTTGCCCCTTTTATAGTGCAATCTTAAGAACACTTTTCTTGGAGTGAGCCTCACTGAAAAGACCTCTCCTTGGTAGTGGGCGATGCTTTGGAATGACTACTGCATTCAACCAATAGATAAAGCATTTTGAATTACTTTTTAAGATCTCTGCTAGTATCTGGTCTGTTTCAATTGCTGGTTAATAGTTCATATTTTTATTCCTTTAAAGCTGTTTTTAAGGTTATATCTGTTGTTCTTTGACCGATGACCCCCTTTCTAATGACAATTCTGCTTTCAGTTTTAGTACCGAGGTTGTTTTGCTGCCGATTATACGGTTACCACTTTAAGCTATTCTTGTTGCAGTTCTGAGATGCTTTAACTGTTCTTTTCTACTTTTGTCATCTTAAGTGGTGATTGTATTGATTTTATTTTTAAATGCCTGTCATTGGTGTTTGAAGGGGAGGCTGTGATCTGCCCCCGGCGTTTCTTGACAGGGAAGTGGCCTGTAAATATTTCAGGTAAATAGACTCGATGATAGCTGATTGAGAACCTCCATCTCTCTTTCTCTGCAGTTCTCTAAGGAGAAGTACATCCTCGATTCATCACCCGAGAAGCTTCACAAGGAGCTGGAAGAGGAACTGAAACTCAGCAGCACAGACCTCCGCAGCCACGCCTGGTATCATGGGCGCATCCCCCGGGAGGTGAGGGTCAGCCCCATCAGTCAGGTGGATTATGAACACCTGGATTCAGAGGCCGAAACGGAATTCACACATGCCTCTTAAAGTGCTTGTCAACTCATTTCCTCCCATTGGTTTGAGAATGCAAAATAGAAGGCTTTAAATGCTAAATGCCCATGCTAAAATAAGGTGGATTTACAGCTGGGTTTCAGTCTACCCTGTTAATGGGATCGGTCTGTCCTAACAATGTAGCCCTTGAGAATGCTTGGAGAAGGACGCTATGATTCAGGGCTCACTGCAAAAAAACCCTATCTTCAGACAGAAAACCGGCTGTCAGAGAGACAGGCTAGCTTTCCACAGACAGGTATGGCTCTGGACTACTTTGTTGAATGTCAAGGATGTGTCTGTGCCTTAAATTTCCAGAAGCCAGTAGTGATAACCAGGGGTAGATATTTCTATCAGTGCCACAGAGAATGTATATTTCCCTGCCGTATTTCATATCTAAGAGCGGAGGGTTGCAGCTCAAGGCAGCCTCAGGCTGTTTAATTTCAGGGATGTGAATTATGGTGAGACGGTCCTATTTTCTGCACATGTTCAGAGGTTCTCTTCTTTCACCTTCACATGTTGTTCCCTGGCATTTGTTTCAGTTAAAGCTGCTTCAGCAGTGCAAGGATTCTCCAATTGCTTTCACTGCCCCTGCAAATGCAGTGAGATGCGCTCTGGCACTGGAGATGCCTCACGGGTGCCTTCCTCTGTCAGAACTTTGCGACTTTGATTTTCTTTGCATTTCCCCCCGCTATGCCTCTGGAGGGTTTTTTTACCCGCCTTCCACCATGAATAATTCTGATAGTATTATATTACTCTGCTCTGGTTAAACCTCACCTAGAGTATTGTGTTCAGTTTTGGGCACCACAATTTAAGAAGGATATAGACAAGCTGGAACATGTTCAGAGGAGAGTAACGAAGATGGTGAGGGGTCTGGAGACCAAGTCCTATCAGGAAAGGTTGAAGGAGCTGGGTATGTTTAGCCTGGAGAGGAGATGAGTGAGAGCTAATATGATGACCATCTTCAAGTACCTGAAAGGCTGTCATATAAAGGATGATACAAAGTTGTTTTGCGTTGCCCCATAAGGTCGGACCAGAATCAACAGGTTGAAATTAAATCCAAAGTGTTTTCGGCTAAACATTAAGAAGAACTTCCTGACAGAGCAGTTCCTCAGTGGAACAGGCTTCCTTGGGAAGTGGTGGGGTCTCCTTCTTTGGAAGTTTTGAAGCAGAGGCTAGATGGCCATCTGACAGCAATGCAGATTCTGTGAACTTAGGCAGATCATGAGAGAGAGAGGGCAGGAAGGGTTGCCTCAGTGCTTAGTTCTCGTGGCCCTTTCTTACATGCCCAGGGAAATGCTGATTGCCACTTTGGGGTCAGGAAGCAATCCTGGAGGTGTTTTTTGTCATCTTCTGGGTGTGGAACAGCAGTCATTGCAGGTGTGGAGGGGGAGGTATTTGTGTTATTTCCTGCATTGTGCAGGGGGTTGGACTAAATGACCCTGGAGTCCAACTCTATGATTCTATGATTCTATGCTATGGCAATTATCAATGTTTTTAAAAGCCCGCTGATGAATATTGGGGGAAATAGGACCAATGTGGGCAGAAACTCTGCAGGGCAAGAAAATGCACACCTTTCTGGAAATACACTTGGATTGCACTTTTCCCAAAAACATTGATGCCAAGGAGATCTGGGAAACAGTGTGGTGAGAGTGGGGAAAGGACAACCCGAGCCTGGTTAGAGCATGACACACCGTGTGGATGCTGCAAAAAATGCTTTGCAGTTTGGAAGCCGAAGTGCAGAAGAACCTCTGTGTGGAAACAGCCTCAAATGAGAAGCTGGGTCGAAAGAACCTGGGCCCGCAGGGCTGGTCTTTTCTGTGGCACTGCAAATTAGCCACACCGGCCTCAACTTTTCCATCTGCTCTTTCAGATATCGGAGAGTCTGGTGCAGAGAAACGGGGACTTCTTGATACGTGACTCACTCACCAGTCTGGGGGACTACGTGCTGACGTGCCGTTGGCGGAACGAGCCCCTCCACTTCAAGATCAACAAGGTGATGGTGAAGTCCAGCGAGGGCCGCACCCACATCCAGTACCTGTTTGAGCAGGAGAGCTTCGACAACGTGCCAGCCCTGGTGCGGTTCTACGTGGGCAACCGCAAGCCGGTCTCGGAGCAGAGCGGTGCTATCTTCTACTGCCCCATCAACCGAACTTTCCCATTGCGCTATCTGGAGGCCAGCTATGGGCTTGCCAACGGGAAACACAGTGGCTCACACAGCCACTCCGGCCAGAAAGGGGGGCACATCAAGCGAAGGAGCATCACGATGACAGACGGATTGACAGCTGACAAGATCACAAGGGGCGATGGGTGCCCAACAAGGTAAACATTGCCTGGTTATTTACTTGCTTGCTAGTTAGGACTGCAACCAGTTACCAGTGGATTACCTCTGACCAGAGGTCATTTCGGGGGGGATCGCGGGGGATCGCAGTTCCCCCGGGTGAGGTACGGGGGGCGGGGCACATGACGAAGCCC